ATATATATATTTATTTATTTATAACTTAATAATAGTAACAACAACAAAATTGTTGTTACAAAATAAAACAATGTATTAATTACCTTTCAGAATTGTTCTTCATAAGTAAATTATGTTCAGATATTATAAAGAACAAAATGAAGAGTTCATTTGCAAAAACAGCTAACTCCATTTTTAACAATTTTCAAAAATAATGTTTTTCATTGTGCATTCCAATTAATCTCAATCAAACTGCAGCTGGATTATTTTGATTAAGTAAAAATAACTAAAAAAATACAGCTAACTAGCACAGAAAAACTCAATAAAAACATGACAACATAATAAAAAACATGATTTTTGACAATTTAAAAAAAATTAGTTATCTGTTTTTGCAAATAAACTCTTCAAATAATTAAGAAAATAATTTATTGCAGTGTACATGCAATGGCACCTATTATAGCAGGGTCAACCCCGGATAACAGTGATGTGACAGAGTTATAAGCCCCATCAGATGAACCTGTAAACACACACAAGAAAAACCCTTGACCATATCCTTGCATTTACCTTTACTGTGTCAAACTATATAGAAACAATAAGCTTCAGCTTATTAATAAATATCAAGGGACGAACTCAAACTCACGCTTAATAATGCAAACAATGAATGACTCTTTAACTTTTAGCAGTCCACGAGCAGATTCCTGTGAATTCTGGGGCAGGAAGAGAAATTTCAGCACTCCTCGTTCATCACACAGGTCTATAAGCTCTGAAACACACACACACACACACACACACACACATATTTGGATGAGTAATCTTAAGGGATATTGTTTCAAACACGTGTCAAAACTGTCATATAATACGTGTTTACTGTCTCTTTGCGACATTTTTGCACGCACAGACGCATTAGGGAGGAGGACAGTGTTAATGACAGTGGTAATGAGTTCTCCATTAGTGATGGGCTGATCCCAGGTAACGTTCCTTACTACATGCCACAGATGTAATCAGACACCGTTGTAGGAGTATGTGCTAAGAGAGAGTGTGAAATATTAACGCTTGATATCCCTGACCTCGGCGCAGGGTTTGAGGGGCACGCTGGGCTCAACTGACCTCCTCTGACCTGAGATCTCTAGAGCATGCAACAACCCGCCTGAGCTACTTTAAGATATCCTTAGGGGCCATTCACATAGAACTCGTTTTTGATTGGAATTGTGGGGAAAAAAACAACTCCAAGTCTTGAAATCAGTAATAAGCGAGACGCTGTGAAAGATGCGAGATCATCAGTCAAACACGTCCGTTTTAGAGAGTGTTTACACAGAAAAACGCTGTAACCCACATGAAAAAATACTATAGTAATTTTTAGTAAATATAAATACTATAGTGTTTTTGAACCATACTATAGTAAAGTACTTGAATTAATTTGTTGTGGTAATTCTATTGTTGCTGTGGTAATATAACAACTCTAGTAATTTAAACAAACTACTTTACCCAATACTGTATTAGTTTTCTACAACTATAGGGTATATTATACTACAATACACTACAGTTTACTGTAGTAAAAACTAAAGTATACTACAGTATTTATTACAGTTTATCAGTTCACTATAGTTAATACTACAGTATGCTGTAGCATTAATTAACAAAGTGTTGTAAATACTATAATATATACAGTATAATACACTTAACTATACACTCTAAAAAATGCTGGGTTAAATACAATCCAGTGCTGGGTAAAATAGGGACAAACCCAGTGTTTTGACCCAGCGGTTGGGTTACTACCCAGAAGGTTGGGTTAAACATTTAACCCAACCGCTGGGTCAAAACAGCCCGATTGCTTTTTTAGAGTGTAGTATCGTTCAAAAACACTATAGTATTTACTATAAATTACTATAGTATTTTTTCATGTGTGGAACTGAAAAATGTGTTCTGTGTAAACCAGACCTTACAGTGATAAAAGTCATTTCTTTGACGTTGAATATCCACTCAGAATTTGAATGACAGAAGCACATGAACAACACTGAATGACTGGAAGTATATCCTTAAAAGTTCTACTGACAATCACGTCATATTTAAGATTCGGTTAAATAAAAGTCTTGAGCTGGAAAAAAAACTAAATTTGACTGATTATGTGCTTATGATTATCCACATATCCTCCTGATGTATGAAAAATACCCTTGAGAAAGCTGTACATACCTGACTCAGCAAGTCCCAACCTGGTTTTTATGCATTCCATGAGGACAACAGTTGGACAGTTGGTGTTAACTAGGAACTGGTTATTATCTAAATACACAAACATCACATTGATATCAGCTTCTTGTCATTTAGATAAAATAGAGAAATTCAAGTACACAGATAGCATATTTTGTCAGTTACTAAGTCGTATATAAATCTAAACATAGAATGCGTATAGCCTATAGCATTGATGTTTAAGCAATTTAATTCATTTTCAAATTAAAGACATGATTGAGATCCTTACCTCCATGTTTAATGTAAATAAACATTGTGGCAGAGAAGAACTTGACACTCACTGGCTGCTGTTCGGTTTTTAAGATGCTGTCTGCTGTAGCCGGGCAAAGAGTAACATAATCATCAAGACTGTGATGTCACAATGACATGGAATCAGATGAGGAAAAACACATTCAAACTAGGGCAAGAAAGTACAACAATAGTATAATATGCATAATCAAAAGTTTTATTACATATTCATTCAATGTTACTAAAATGAAATAGCAGTTTTATTAATCAGTATGTACTATACAAATGAAAGCTGTCAAGCATTTTGAAGTGGATTTGTAATGTATTTGTAACAAACTCTGTCATTATTTTTAAGCAACTGGTTATTCTTAGTGGATTTATAAAGTGAGTTTCCTGCAAGTTCACAAAGTCAGAAAGTGTACAAATACTTGTAGTCTTAATTTGAAACCATAAATATATGGTTTTATAATTAACACAACTATAAAAGTTAAACACTTAACAGTGTGCTGTATTTCTTTAAAATAAATGCCATTGGTTTGATATTTTTTAAATAAGACATTCATGTATTTTTAATGTTGGCTTACAACACTACTGTTCAATGATTGGGGTCAGTAATTTATTTATTTATTTTTAAATAATACTTTGTTTCAGCAAGGAAACATTAAGCTGATCAATACTTACAGTAAAGGCACTTATATTGGTGCTAAAGTTTAGATTTCTTATAAGTGTTGTTTCAGAAAATGTTGAAATTTCTATTTATTAAAGAATCCTGAAAAAAAACATAGTTTCCACAAAAACATTAAGCAGAACAACTGATTTCAACATTAATAATAATAAGAAATGTTTCTTGAGAATAAAATCAGCATTTTAGAATGATTTCTGAAGGATCATGTGACACTGAAGACTGGAGTTATGATGCTGAAAATTCAGTTTTGCCATCACAAAAATAAATTACATTTTATAATATATTCAGATAAAAATACTTTTTATTGTAATTACATTTTATAGTTTTACCAGTTTCTACTGTATTTTGATCAAAAAGCAGCCATGGTCAGCATAACAACAGTGTACTTTTGAGTACACTGATTGATTGAGAAATGTCAACAATTCAATTTTTCATCCTTCTTATACACAAATTCTGCATAAAATGAGATATGAATGAGGTAAAATAAACGTGCAAAGGAAAACATTAAAATGTAGCATGTTCAGTAAGAATGAGCTGACAGTGGTTAACACCACTTTGGCTTAAGAGCTCTGCTGTCCTGCATGCTCTTCTTCAGTGCTTGGTTCATCTGCAGGCTCTTTTTCAGTGCTTGGTTCATCACAGTTGTCAGTTTGAGAAGCAGGACTGGCCACAGGTGTGAGACCGGCGTCACAAGAGGGTGTAACCTCACACACGTCACAGGACGGCTCTGTGTAGTCAGGCTCAAAGGCTTCCTTCAGCTCTCTGGAGATGTGAACCCAGCTCTGAGAATATAATGAGAGGGTCACAGCGTATCCAAATCTAAAGAGAACATTTACTCATAATGACCTCATAGGAGTGGATACCTCAACATTTCCATCATGTTTATGAAACAAATCCTGTAGGTTCTTGCTAGGGTCAGGCACGACTGGAAGTAAGATGATCTTTTTCCTGTATATAAATAATTATTGTAATAATTAGTAATAATTATTAATTATTTAATTTAATTATTAAGAATTTAAAGCTGCAGTCCATAACTTTTTCTGGTTAAAAATTATCCAAAATCAACATTTGAGCAAGTACATAACCAGCCAGTGTTCAAAACTAATGCCTTACTTTAGCCCGATTCACAACGGTTAGCTTATAATAATGTTTTCTAATTTGAGTGGTACGGGTAGGTTTTCGCG